TCTATTGTTCCTGCTGTTGTTGTTGGATGGTGTTGGATACTAAGAGGGGAAAATGAAGCAGGAAGGGAGGATAAAAATTTCCAAAGGGCCAGTGGTGGACATGTGTGGTTTCACATGGGGTGATCCAGGAAAGATTAGCTGAGAAGGCGACGTGTGTGCAAAAAGGTTGGGAAATGGGGGACCCAGCCCCGTGGTAAGTGGGAAATCCCTGAGGTGGGGTGAGCCTGGCTCAGTCAGAGCAGAGGCACGGGGCTGGGGTGTCTGCAGTGGGTGACGGGGTGGTCGTGTGCAAGTGTCTGATCGCACATCACGTACTCTGGTCATTCGTGTGTCTGCTGTCTCCTTCTCCAAATCCAAGCTCTGGAAGATCGTGAGCGAGTGGTACCGAGCCTCGTACGACCAGGGCCCGGCACAGCGTCTGCTGGGTGGGGGTGTTCTGTGGACTTGGAGTGAGACTGGGATCCGGGGAAGCCCAGCTCGCAGTGCCCTGCGGAGCGTGGCTGGCGGCAGAGTGAGGCTGGGCCCCAGGAGCCTGCGTCAGTGCTGGCGGCTGCGGTGACTCACCACCACACACCGGGTGCCTTACAGCCACCAAGATGCATTCTCTTACGGTTGTGGAGACCAGATGCCTGAAGCCAGGTGCTAGCAGGGCACTCCTCCATCTGAAGGCTCCAGTGGGGGACCCACTCCATGCTCCTTCTGGCTTCTGGTGGCTCCAAGCCTGTCCCTACACGTTGGCCGCATCGTCCCAGCCTCTGTCTCCAAGGTCACCTTGACTCCCCTTCCTCCCTGTGCATCCCTCTTCTGCGTGTCTCCCTGCTCCCAGACTCCCACAGCCTGTGTCTTATAAGGATAAGTGTGGTTGCATTTAGAGCCCAGTATAAACTCCTCCCAGGACCCTAACTGAGTCACATCTTTGCCACAGAAGGCGACCTTCATTCTTTTGCCCTGTAAGGGCACATTCGCTGGTCCCGGGAATTAAGACTTGGACACATCTTTTGAGGGGTCCATTGCCTAGCCCACAGCAAGCACAATCCCAGGGGCCTCTAGTTAGGGCTCTGTATTAAAATTAAATAGGTAGGGCTCTAAGTAAGATCCTTAAACCTCAGGCTGCCAGTTTATCCCCTCCCTCCAGGAACCATAAGTCTGTTTTCTATGTCTGTGAGTCTGTTTCTGTTTTGCAAATAAGTTCATTTCTGTCTTTTTTTAGAGAGATTTGCAGATACACACTACTGTATAAAATAGATAAACAATCAAAACAAGTTTCTACTGTATACACAGGGAACTGTGTTCAATATTTTTAGTAAGCTGTAACGAAAAAGAATATGAAAACAAATATATGTATGCATATGTATGACTGAAATATGATGCTGTGCACCAGAAATTGACACACTGTAAACTGACTATACGTCAATAAAAATAAAATAAAATAAGATAAAGTAGGGAGCTGCTTTGAAAGATCGTCCTCCCATGAGGCAGGACCTGTGAAGAGACAGTTGTGAGGATGGGTTTCTGGTCGACCTGAGTACAGTGGGTGAGGTCTTGATTCTCAGAGGAGGGACGGATGGCGTACATTCAGGAGGTTAAGAGAGACGCTCCGTCAGGCAGCCTGTGATGATGAAAGGGTGTCTGATTAGGGGTAGAAGTGCCCAGCCCACGTCCACCACCTTCACACACCCCCTCCCCAGACTCAGCAGCCTAACCCCATAAGCCCATCAAAACCAAGCCTGTAAATGTCTCCAGGTTACAAAACCCAAAACCAAGGACCGCCAGCCACAGACAACCAGGCTTTAAGCTGGAGCCAGTCAGGGATTTCCTTGCTTCGCCTCCCCCTTTTCTCTGGACGAGCCTTTCCCCAGCTCCTCCCAGCGGGGCACTCCTGACCCTTTCTGATTTAACGCTGTTCCGTTGGAATTGATTTCAGCTCAAACTCTCAAACATTTAGATATGCCTCAGTTTATGTTTTAGCAGTAACAAATCACCGCCCATTTGGTAGCTCAGATGTCCACTTCCTCATCTCTGTGTACGACTGCGTTCTTGTCCTGTTCCTTCCAGCCTTCTGGCTGGTCTTGGGGGGCACTGGGGAGACAGCCCACGTCTAGGAGTGTTTTCTAATGTCATTCCGATATGTTCTCTTGACACCTGTTCATGTCCCCGTAGCTTCGTTTGAGGATTGTCTTCGGTTGGGGAAAACCCCTTTTGTAGCAGCCTGCTTACTTTGCAGCTTCTGCTGTCAACACAGAAGGCACACATACCAAATATTAGTGTGGAAGAGCATCTTGCTTTGCTTTGCGTTGATACAGGTAACTAAGGGGAAACATTCTTAGCTACTTTCACTTAAAAAGGAAGATTTCCTAACAAGCGGTGGTCGTAGTGGTTAGTTAGACAAATAGCAGTGCCAGCCTGCTTGGGACGCAGCTCTTACGTAAGACAGTTCCAGCGTTTGCGCACTCAGCGGCTTTCTTTAACATACACTTAAGAATTTTTTTTTAAATTATGAAGCATCTAAAATTTTACAAAGATAACATCACTGACATATGTGCCCATAACTGAGATTAAACAGATGTTAACATTATGCTTTATTATTTTTTAAACATTTTTTATTGAGTTACAGTCGTTTTACTATGTTGTGTCAAATTCCAGTATATGCTTTATTTACTTCACATCATCCCTTTATTGAAAGAAATAAAGCATAAAATAAAACTCATCTCAACACCCTCCCTCCGCTCCCAATGCCTACTCCCTAGAGTGAACTTTTATGTTGAAATTGCTGTATCTCATGCCTAATCACTTTTATATTTTTATCAATCTTGCATTTATCTGATCACCATAGTGACTAAATTTTGTTTTAAAATGATAAATAGTATGATGTACTTGTTATTTTGTAATGCAATTTTTTGTGATGCAAATATACTTAATTGTATAAATATACATCCGTACATATGTGTGCATATGTACGTGTGTGCATATATGTACATGTATGTAATGTCCATGTTGTTACTTGTAGACTCTAATTCAGAATGCCACTGTATATATATTTCACATTTGTGTATTCTTTAGCTACAGAAAACACATTTTTTTCCCTCCAAGTTTTCCAGTATGTCTTTGGACATGTCTCCTTGCATATATGTATTAAAAACTTTGGAGGTAAACTCCTAGTTATGAATTCCTACATCGTTGGATACACACATTTTCAAATTTGCTAGAAACTCATAAAATTGTACGTAAGCTCCATGAATACGATGAGTTCTGGGTCCTACCTCCGCAACAGTGCTTGTTGCTTTCAAAGTTTTACTAAGTTATGGATGTCAAATAGCATGTCACTGTTACAATTTATTTTTACCAGATGACTTCTGAGAACAAAGCTGTTTTGATCTCTTGACCCTTTTGATGTTTTACTTTGTGAATCTCATGTCTGGATTCTTTGCTTATGTGTCTGTTGAGATGTTTGATTTTCTTCTTGGATTTGCAAGAGTTATTTTTATTTTCTGGACACTAAACCTTTCTTGGCAATAGCTTTCACAATGGTCTCTCCTTTTTTATGTCTTTTCTTTTTAATGTATTTATAATGTCTTTTTTTAATCCTTAAGAATTTCCTTCATTGATGTTAAAGTGTTCCCACATGTCTCCCTCTGAAGGGTTGGCGTTGCTTTAACTAATATGTAGCTGTTGATTCTATCGAATGTTAGGGACCCATCTAATTTTTTTTTCTATAGGGAATAGCCAACAGCTTCAGAACAATTCATCAACTCACAGATTTTTCCATGAAGTAGGAAAAGTGCCTGGTATCTCCACCCTGTTTTACTGAGTGAATACCATGCTGCAGTCCTGGCAGCCTACTCTGGATTTACTGGTAGTTTGGATTCACAGATGAAGTTATAAGCAACCCAGGTGGTAACCACACTCCTATTTACTGAAACGCTAGTGCTCATTTTAAAATATATTGAAATAGCCAACTGGTAATGACTGAAATTTCAATTGTATTGATTCGTATTAAGATGAAGGCTTACATTCATCAGTCTTTTTCATTGAAATAGAGTTGATTTACAACATTATGTTAGTTTCTGGTGTACAGCATAGTGATTCAGTTATACACACACACATATATATATGTATTTTTTTATTTTTCATATCCTTTTTCATTATAGGTTATTTGAAGATATTGAATGTAGTTCCCTGTGCTATAGAGTAGGACCTTGTTGTTTGTCTATTTTATATAGTAGTTTGTATCTGCTAATCCCAAACTCCTAATTTATCCCTCTTCTCCTTTCCCCTTTGGCAACCATAAGTTTGTTTTCTCTGTTTCATAGATAAGTTCATTTGTGTTGTATTTTAGAGTCCATATTTAAGTGAAGTCAGTGATATTTGTCTTTGACTTATTTCACTTAGTATAATAATCTCTAGGTCCATCCACGTG